GGGTGGGAATGTTGCAACAAACTGCATTGTTACTGGGCTGCCAGCAGATGGCACTGTTGGCTCAGAGAGATAGCAGTAGCATCTCAAGGATTAACTTAGTTTGGAACCATATGATAGTTGACAGGTGGATTCCCATAATTCCAGTCAAAAAGGAAAGGTAGGGATTCAGCCTTTACAAGGCATGAACAGTTATCAGCATTTATTAGCTTGGTAGCATCCTAGGAACTCTCACTAAGTACCTCAACTGAATTTCAGGACAAAATTTCTTGCTGGGTTAATGTGAATATTTCCTATCCTACTACTGATCTCATTTCTGTTAGCAGTTGTGGTAGGGTGGCCTGGCCAGTATCCACACAAATCAAACAGAGAACACAACAGGCAAATGCCTCAAAATAAGTCCTCCTAGCTTATTCTGTAGCTTCTGCTCTACCATTGCTGGGGATACATCACCGGGGAAAAAATGGCAGATCTGTGTCCAAGGGAATGCCCGGACCTCGGGGCAATGCCGCCTCAAGTGAATTTTGAGGACAAGCCACCTCTAGGCAGGCCAGCTAGTAAAACAGTCTGATAGCTGTAACTTTCAGTCTCTGGGCCAAGAGTGTGTCCCATCTACAGCCTACATGCAATCCGTGTTTGGTTTTTGCAACTCAGAATCCAATTAACCATGATTGCTGAAAACCAGAGTGGGGTTACCCCTCCCTTTGAAGAAGGGAACACATGAACATTGTAATGTTATCCCTACAATAAGCCTGACATTGTGCTGTAAACTAAGACCTGCAAAATCTCCCCACCCCCATCAAAAAACCCCAGGTTAAAAAGAAACCCAATTTCCCCCTACTTTGAAACACCACTCCCACTGTGGTCTTCTGTAAATCTGAAATGTTGGTCACACTAAAATGTTATATGGTCTCTAGCAGCTGAAAACAACTTGATGGCACATGATAACTCAATCGATCGATCACGTAAGTGGGAGGGTGTATGGAAATAATTTCTTGGGGTTTTGCTTTAAGAGTAGCAGTACTGTTGTTCCAACTCCCAAGCTATAAAGGTAGACTCAGAAGTTAGTTCTACTGAGTTCAATGTGGTTGAACTCATAAGAGAGTTATATAAGAGAATATGGGTCTGTTCTCTAAACAGAGCACCAGCACAAGTAGCAGGTAATCCAAGCCAATTTAGGAGGAACATCTTTGAATATTAGAAAAACAGTATTTTCTTCCAATAGAAGAGAATATATGTAGCTCAGGGTTGTGGAGTCCTGGGTGCTCTCTGAGCTTGGTTGTTTGATGCACTGATGTTACCTAGTCGGGTAATGAAACGTCTGTAAGCAAACAACCAAACTCAGAGAGCACCAAAGACTCCACAGTATTTTCTTCTTTGGTAATGTTTCTCATATGGATTTTAATATTCATCTGACTTTTAATTATTGTTATGATATGTTTAGGATTACAAAGTATATGTAAAATAAATCTTTGGAGGTTTTGGTTATTTTTCATCTTCTTTCCCTCTATTTCTCATCTTGTCTTTCAGTCTGCCAGGATATAAAGTTTGGGGGGGTAAAGCAGCACACAGGAAAGCTAAAGTGATTGCACCTTTCAAATATGATTTGAAATTAGGTTCCCTGGTACACACATCTAAATAAAAATAACTGATGTCCATAACAGTATCAGCACAATAGTGATGCCTGTGCTATCCAAGAGGCTGAATGTACAGAAAAATCTACTAGATGGTCTTGTGTTCCACATCATGCAATGGAATGTGAGCAGGCCCTTTCTCTGGAAGCTTGTGCCTGCAATGCCACCCCAAACTGTAACTCACCTTTCTGCCAGCCCTCGTTTTGTTAAGCCCGAAATGACGATGGGGTCAAAAGGTTCCTCTGTTCCTGAAATAGTGATTCCCAGGGGTCCACCATATCTCTTCAATTCCACTGTGTAGATGATAGCCCCAGTGGTTTCTTGTTCATCTGTTAAAAGGAACAAAGATGCTGAATAATGATGATAGAAATCATCTAAGACCCAAGCTCAGAAGAAGTTCCAGCCAATCACTAAGAAAGTCGTAGCCCTTTTTGAAGGGGCCTTTTTGTATATAGGGAACGTGTAAATACACAAGCATGTTAATTAACAATATTGATTCACAATCTGTCAACCTCATTAGTCTTTGAAAGGATTGTTTTTGTCAACAGATTAATTCAGTGTTTTTGTACCAGAGTTATCCTCATCCTTCCTGATCTTCAATTTGACAAGTTCTTCACACTGTTTTAAAATCTGCACTGCATCTTCCATTGAGCAATTGTCAAGTCGGATATTATCAATAGCTAACAGCTTGTCTCCAGGCTCTAAGGTGCCAGTCCTGCATACAAAGGGAAAGCAAATCTTTTAAAACAACATTCTAAATAGTGTTAACATTTGTTCTTCTCAAGTGCTAAGTGATGCTGATATGATGAAATAAATGTTGGGGAAACAAAATCATATTTTTTTAATAGTAGTCTTTCAATACGAGGAAACAGAATTTGCTTTAGAAAATGTTTTAAAATAAAGAGAATCTCAGAAGAATTCTCCTAGTCTTCCTGCACTGATTGTAACTGCAAAGAGGCCAAGGAGGTTATGTAAATATATTGTCTTTCATTGTACAAGTATTTGTCCAGCTTTCTGCTGCCTCCCCGTGCTTCAGATGAAGTTCCAAAGAAGGCATTATAACAGGACTCTTTCCTTTAGGGTTTTTCAGATTGGGAAGGGCAGGCAGCCAAAAAGGCTTTAGATGCAGTGTTTCTCAATCTCAGCAAATTTCAGATGTGTGGACTTCAACTCCCAGAATTCCCCAGCCAGCAGCACTGAAACACTGCTTTAGAGTGAGGCAAAGGGAAAGTGAAACATCAGCACCATTGTCTTCAATCACCTTCAACAACAAAGGAAACCCAAACACAGTATTAAGATGAATTTGAAAGAAATTCCCAGACATCCTGAGAAGAAGGTAGAAAAATAGATGTTTTTCTAAAGGGAAGAAAACTTCCAAGGCAGATTTTGGCACAACATTAGTCTGAACAAGTATGTGCCAGCTTCATACGTATTAATTGGGTTCAATCACATAATAGAACACAGTGTACCTATGAAAGATGGGTGAGGTCATAAAAAGATATAACAGATCTTAATGAACAAGTTCATTCCTACTGTTTACTAAGACTCAGAAACAGAAAAACAGATAATTCACTCACCTGTGTGCTACACTCCCCTTCTTGATATCAGAGATAATTAAAGGCTCACCAGACTTTCTGCTTGCTGTTTAGGAAGAGATACATGCAGACACTCAATCCAGGCATTTAGACTCCATGATAATCTTCAGAATTATATAATACCAGCCTTCCACAACCAGGCATTCCTGCAGCATTCCCAGTCATTATGGCCATTGAATCACACCAGGTTGCAGAAGACTATATGATCCAAACATTATATAAAGTAGGAAGCAATAAAATATATTTATCTTTTTCAATTTAGCTTTAATAAAAACATTTAAGCCAAAACTACTAATGTTTAATACAATTCATAAAGCACAAACATTTGTTATACCTTGAGAATTGCAATCAAGACTATAGTTTTGCATCTTTCCTTCCTACAAAAGAGATGGTAAGCTTTGATTGCAGCATATTGATGTGGTCAATTATGGTTGAAGACATGGACCTTTCATTTATTAAAACAGTGAGCCATGTACACATAGAAGTTACCTCGGTCATGATGTAGAAGAAATGAAAGATAACCAAGAAAAAATGGCAAAGTCCATTTTATTAGGAGCCAAAGATGCAGTCCTCTATATAGAATATGCCTATATAGAATTCACTTAAATTGTGACTGAAAGCTGACAAAGAAAGTGAGTTAATAATTATTTTGAAGGAAGCACACCATATCCATCAGAAGCATGTGGGTGAGGTTGGAACAATGCTTTGCTCATTCTGTGGCAGCATCACAACAGTTGAAAAGACATAACATGTTCCATGAAAGATCATCCTGGAGAAGGTCTATCTATGTAACTGCTAAGAGTTAACACTGATTTGATGGCACATAATCAATCAATCAATCAATCAATCAATCAATCAATCAATCTAAAACATATCTCATATCCATCCATCACATTACATTACTTTTTAAATACATGGCATTTTTACAAAAATAATATTGTAGCTCTCCTCAACCTGGAACTAAATGTATTGGATGGCAAACTTCTTAATTCCTAGTCAGGGAGCTAATAAACATGCTGACTGGCAAGATGGGAGCTGTAGGCTTCATGATGGGGTGATATAGGGTGATAGATAAAAGTTTTTAATAGATTTGGGATTCTTTTTTCTATTTGAACACATTCACCTCTATTTAAGTTATATAAAAATATTGCCAATTAAATCTCCAATACAAGAAAAAAAAAAAGAGGATTTCATTTGGACAAATCTTCAAGGCTAGCTGATGTAGGTTGCACCTCTAAGACTAACATGCAAATTAGTTTTCAGATTTCACACTTCTTTGAATGTTACAATGTAACTCCTGGCTCATAAAATAAGCAGATGGTTCCCAAAACCTGTCTTTCATTAATAAAATAAAATAAAATAAAATAAAATAAAATAAAATAAAATAAAATAAAATAAAATAAAATAAAATAATAAAATAAAATAAAATAAAATAAGATTGTAAAAGTTTAGAGATATTACATGAAACAGTATGTTCAAGATACTTATTTTAAACACTAATTTCATGCATTTTGAAAAATTGACCATTAATATGAAAGCATGACAAATTTGAATTCTGAATGAATATGCATGAAACTGACTCTAGCCAGTCACAGTGCTTCATTTCTAGCATAGTTAGTAAAGTTTTAAATTTACAGCAGACCTGCCAATTCCTGAAATATAATTAGCTGCATTTCCTTTTAAGGACTCCATTCCTACTTCTACGAACTTTGAAAGGAAAGGCAACTATTTATAGAATATGCTATTCAGAGCTGAGGAATATTTGGATATCTTCCCCTTATTTGTCCACTGGGAACCCAACAAGGGGAGGAAAGTCAGGCTAAGAGAAGTTTTTTATTTCTCATTACCTCCCATAGATGTAAGTAACAGTCCTAGGCTTAGATTTGCTTCAACAAAGAGATTCATGCTGTGGAAGCAACATGATTCCCATTGTCAAAGCTCTTTGGCCAGAAAACTCCTTTTTCTCTTCTTCCCAGTGCTGTCTGAAGCCCTTGAAGGTTAGATGGCTTAGTGCACAATAAATAATACAATACACACACAGCCACAGCCTGGAAGACTTTTGGTGCACTCCAAGGAGTTTCCAGGCTAGGTACCTTCAACTGATACTGTGTGGCTGCCCACAGTTCCATGGGAGAAAGTTAAGAGGAGCTGCAAAACATAGCAATATGAAGAAGCATGTTCATGTTTGCTCTTGGGAGCCAGAGTGTTACATTGCTTCACAAAGGAACTTCAAGTGGTGCTTTGCTTGAAACTTTGTAGAAGCAAAGAACCCCTTTGAAAATTGGTACAGCCCTAACAAAAAGTTGGCAGTGTGGTATGAAAATGTGCACCTCCATTGCCTTTGTGCTATTGTTGAACAGTGGCAGCACAGCAGAACACACTCATAGTAGGCCTTAGCACTTTGAATTATAGATTCAAGATTGGAAGAAGATAGATGTCAGTGGTAGTTTCCAGATTAATGAAGATCCCAGAGAGTATGATGTAAACAATCAGTTGCAAGCTTCCCCGTTATGCAACCTTGCCAGATCATAGGAAGGCTATTAGAAAGAAAAACCAAAAATCCTTGCCCTAATATCTATGGGGATATATTTGCCCTAAATGGAAAACAGTTCAATTGCTGAAATTCTTGAAATTCCATCTCTTTCATCTCCATAAATCTTGCCAAAGAGAATTCTGTAAGAATCTTTGGAAAAGTATCACTTTTGGTTTTAATCAGCTGTCAAAATTCTTGACAAACTGATTCAGTCTAAGGCTACAGATTCAGTTTGATGGCAAGCCAATCTGAGTTGATGAACTTTGAGATTCAATTTTTAAAAAGTCCAAGAACTTGGGAAAAAACACAGCCTCTTTGGGCAAGATGTAGGAGAATGATCATTGCTGCCTCTGATCACTGGATTTCTGGAGAACCAAGAAGATTGACTTAGCACTTAGCTGGTTAGCAATCTGGACCTCTCTCATTACTGGCATTGGGAAAACTCAGTTATGTCAGGGTTGCTTGCAAAAAACTATGTTGGTTTGTTAGTCAGGAGAAGCAGCGAGAACAGGCTGACACAATGAGATACAATGCCAAAGAGACAAGCAACCTTCAGAGAAACATGCTGATACAGAGAAAATTGTATTCATAGTCTGGTTGCCACCCCACCCCATTTTTAGAGCAGCAAACGTTTGGAGCAGTGCCTGGACACTTTAGCCTAGCACCTGTTCTCTCGCTGTGGAGAGCCAGCATGGTGTAGTAGTCAAGGTGCCTGGCTAATCCTTGGAAGACTCAGGTTTGTGCCCACTCTCAGCTATGGCAACTTGTTGGTGATTCTGGGCCAGTCACTCCCTTTTTCAGCCCAACCTATCTTACAGGGTTGCTGTGGGGAAAAGTTGGAGAAGGGGCTGGTTTCAGTATATTTTAAGAGCTGAGTTGAGCTTCTACTTCTGTTGGCAGGACCCACCCCAAAGTGTAACATTCCCTTAGTACAAGAGACAGCAAATTTGGGGCTCATGTTTGAAGAAGGTGAGGGTGAGAAAGAAAAGGAAGCCCAAAGTAATGGAAGCTTCGCCATTCCAAAACAGCTGTCTTAGGCAAAGGGTTAAATGAGGCATTAAGCTGTTTGGCTGGCTATTCATGACAGTGTCAGAAAGTCCCACTATGACTCAACCCCTCCAAAATACTCCCATTTTGTGCTAAGGTTCAACCATAGGTAGGATGGATACAACAAATTATAGTACAAGATTGGGCAACCTGGAAATATATGTCAGGGTCCTGGTCAGATAGAAGCAATGACAGATAGACATTGTGCTCTCTACCAGAGTAGTTCTTTAAAATGGGATAAATATATACCTTCCTTGATTCCCTATAGAGAGAGCAGCAAAGGAACATATGGCTTAGGGATTCCACAGAGCCATCTCATATGGCTCATATGGTCATAGGCACTGCTAAAAAAGGATATTTTTATACTCCCCTCACAGAACTGCAGAGCTACCAGGTTGCATCCAAACTGACCAAGGTGAAAGCCCAACAAAATTTCAGAATTAGAACTGACAAGAGATAAGATGATGGCACATGCCCATCTGAGAAGAATCCATAAACTATAGGGTTGGATACTGAGCTTAAACTGGTTTGAAAATCAATATCCCAGATACGTTGTTTAAGATGACTCCTGGCATTTTCAAGCCCTAATGGACGGAGACTTTCCAAACAAAGTCCTAATAGGAGTTTGCTATTAGCTTTTGTTAGCCAGATTGATTTAAAATGGTCTCTGAGAACCAGTGGAGCCAGACCCACAGGAGAAAAAATCAATTTCAAATTAAGGAGATAGAGCCAGGTTCTGGCACCCACAGAAACCAAACCTGTCTCCAACCATAAAGTAGCATTCTTGATGCATCTTGGATCTGTGAGTATCACTCTTATAAATTTGGGCTGGACAGCTTCCAGGATATTAAACTTTGTAAAAATACAAATTGGAACACCATAAAGAAGCTGAGAGATGACCTTAGCAAGGAAAACCTGGCAAGCTGCAGGAATAAAATGTGCCCCTTTTGAACAGAAGAATCTTAAGACAGCTGTGGAGCTATGTTGGGCCACACTTGCCTGATAAGAGAAATGTGCGCTCCAAGATAAGGAAGCCTGGAACTGGACCCCAAGGTATTTAGTAGGTTACCTAAATGGCAAATTGATGGGGCCCCAAGGTACATATTTATAAGTACGTACCTGCTCTATTGGGGTCCCATTAATTTGCCATTTAGGTAACCTACTGTTGTGTCATGCAGACACTAGCACTTTAGTTTTTTGATAATTTATTACAAATTGTTCTTTTAGGCAAAAGGAAGCCAATGGTCTTAATGCCCTTCTCATCCCCACCTGGGCGACAGGCAAAATTACTACATTGTCTGCATATAGCAATGCTGGAATTACATGATCTGCTAACTTTGGAGAGTGATGATTAGAAGATGATACAAATTAAAAAGTAAGGGGGCTAGAATATACCCTTGCCTTACCCCTCTTTTGGTGGAAACAACTCCAGAAAAGTGCCCCCCAGGGGAACATTTGACTCACAA